AGTGCAATTTGACATACAAAATAATACGATGGTCTTCGAAATGCTGTGACTGACTATCTAATGGTTGTATTATATAATAGAACATCATTTTTGATACGTAACAAAAAGTTTTTGAAATTTAATTTAGTCAGCGTTACATCAGTCTTACATAGTTTTTCACATTATTTGACACCTCTCTTAACTAATATACATAGCTACCAATATTTCGAGGAGTGATTATGCGCTTTTCAATTTTTTCGTGATAGTTTATATTTAAGTTTTGCTATTTAAATAGAACCGCAATTACTTCTAAGTAAGCTCAAAGCTACTGTTTATTATGTATGGTACTTGGATACTTTAAACTATACCTAAAATCTCCCAAACGTAACATGAACAACAATGTTAGTATTACTCACATAACTCCGTGAGGTAACATTTACGTGTTTATTTTATATTATAACTTGCAAAATTGCAAAGAACAATGTTAGCTCTTACTTAATTTATTTCAAAGTCTTACATGTGTTCTATATATGTTAGAGGCAAGTATTATTTATATCTATGCATTTATTTTCTAAGAATAAAACTGAAATGGAATTGCAATATAATTTAAAAATAATTATGTCATTTTATAGATGTGAGTTAAATACGTTTACAAAGAAATTGAAATTCCTCTTCCCCAAATGTTAGTATTCTGTATGACAAGAAGAGGCTGTAGTCATTAGATATAATTTTATTTTCCTTAGTTTAGACCTTTTTCATCTGAAGTAAATTTAGTAAAAGGTCGCCTGCGTGGGTACTTTCACCTATTCCAGTCGCTAAGCACCTTGCTTTATAAGTTGTGCTGCTGTGGTAAGGTCTTCTTAGTCCTCTGGAATGGTGACATATAAGTAGTATCACGGTTATCACGACAACTCTATATAAATAGTGTCTTACGCGAATAAATAAAATACGAAATGGAACATCATGCGCTCCGATACAAACATGTAAAAGTAACTGGCAAAAAAGTAACTGGCAAGGAGAACATTGAAGGATCGGATAAATCAATTTTTGTAACTTTTATGTGTGGCGTCTGTAGAAATACAAATATATTTTACCAAAAGAAAATGGAATGCTGGCGGCGCCGTTTTGAATAAATGTTCTATGGAAATATCAAAAATAGATAAGTTCTGGGAATTGATCGTTACTAAGAATAAAATAACAAAAAGAGAAATACTCATGACTTTTCACATAGAATGATTGAAGGTATTTTGGAAACTGCTTCCATTGTTGTTAATGTTTTGTCCTAATTTCCTTGTGTATATTTTAAGTCACTGTGTCAGGCTTCCACTGTGAACTTCTTGATTGATTAGCTTGGCTGTGCTATCTTTATCATATACACATATACATGTCACATATCACATACACAGGCTTTATTAGAGTAGTTAGTATGTTATGTATACCAAATTGCATTACACATTTATTATGCTATAAAATTTAAAACAGTATATTCATTGCCGCTCGTGCGAATACTTGAGTATTCAAATGTGTGTTCATGTAATTAATGCTTATATTTTTTATATAATTTTAGTATTAAGAAGCGGGTACTAATGAATTGAACCATAGATTAATCTATGATTCAATTAATATTTAATTAATAAGCATATAATTTAAGGAAGGTAACACTTAAGTATTATTATAGAAACAAATTGTTATGTATATTTTATTTCTGATCTCTATTAAGTTGGCTCATGTTTTGTGGAATGCAAGAGCAATTTCTTCTTGTAATATAAAGCGAGTAAATTCTCAAGGGGGTTCTAGATAAAAATGTATTATACCGTTTTATAGTAATAAAAGGCCAACCAATCATATCTAGTACTTGGCTTGAATTTCAAGATTCTGCTTTAAAATATTATCAAGATCAGTCCACGATAATGGAATAAGATCGCTAAACAATATGCTATTTATTACAATGCAACAATCTAAATCTAAATAAATTGTTTAATATCTATAGAATATAATGTAACTTAATAAATAACAATTCGATGGCATGTGAAACTAAACTTTTCCCAATATAGGTCGTAATACAAAAGAAAATTGATCCTTCGCGGAAACTGTGCAGTTGTATGTATACCTACCTACATATATAGTATATGATCGATTTAGTTATAGTTCTTCGAAGAAAGTTATTGGGTTTCATGAATACTCTAGCTGGATTTCGAATTGTTATAATCTTTTTATTACATATTATTATATCACAGAATACATAATACACTACACTACACTACACTCAGTTATACAAAAATGTATGTTATATGCAGTTTTGCACAGCGGTTTAAATTTTGATGGATCCGTATTTGATTCCATTCACCATACAAACATTTATATTCCTGACTATTATTTGTCCGGAAGATATTGCTTTAAGCTATAAGGCCGCTTTTTCTTTTTACATAGTATAAAAAAAGTCGTTGCCTGTCCGTTTCTATGTATGCATAAATCTTTAAAACTACGCAACGAATTATGAAGCGATTTTTAAGAGAGAGTAATTCAAGAGGAAGGTTTATATATATAATACTTCATGTATTATGCGATACACCCGTGCGAAACCGGGGCGAGTAGCTAATATTTATATAAAGTTCTTTTTTTTGTAAAGATTTTTCTGTGCATAATACATGATGTGTATGAATTGTTCTGAGTTATTATCATTATATACCTATACAATTTAAGGAAACTATCTGCTATTATATATAACAAACCGCCATTTTTATATTCTCTTAGGCCTTTAATAACTCAAATAAATGCCGTTACAATTTAATAAACAAATTAACGTTTAATAAATATATTCCTAAAATCGTAATCGTATCATATTCGTCTGGTTCAGACAGGTATACTTATGCCTACAAATTCAAATGTCATCGACCTCTTATTTCAAGTAAAGCGGAGACAAATCGGTTCCAAGAAAGGTCGTGGAAAGTTTCATGAACAATACAAATAGAAATTCGATACATAAAGTCTAACACCTTCTGTTAGTGCATTAAATAAATCCATCGACGTGGAAGTATTGTAAGCAGTAATGCTACTAGATGGATGCTACTTGATTTATTTTGCGATAGTTTTAGATAATGTCAAAGTAATAATATTTTTTTCACAACGGACAGTTCTTGCAACTTTTACATGGAAATATTTTATCTCTATCTCTACCAATCAGTTCGGGTCGCTAGTGACTTCAGTTATGAAGTACTGACAAGAAAATTATTTCTTTTTAGATCAGACCAGTGGTGTATTAGTTTAAAAAGAAACATTTACGATGATTCTTATTATTTCATGGTTTATATCGCATATCCACATATCAAAGATATCATTTTACTATTATTTTTCGGTTGATTTTCGGTCAACGGAAAGTAATCAGCCTTTTACGTCAAAATGATGTGAAGAAACTGTTTATGTCAATACTGTTTTCAACAACGATTTCAACTCTGAGCAGAAATTTAGATGGGGGCTAATTAAGCCCTTTGCACTCACACACATCAAAATCATAACCCACTTTTTTGCTTGGCCGTAGTCGGGTAAAAAATGGGCTCGAAAAAATAGGTCCATCTGCGGCATCTGTTTAACTTTATGAATGTGTATATTTCATGTGTATGACTTTACCATTATTTTTATTTAACAGTTCCTGTAAAAGATGCGTAGGAATTATATATTTTTTAAAACTCTTTACTGCACCAAGCATTTTACACAAGAATTAATATGTAGAAAAGGCGGTCTTATCATAAGAAGCAATCTCTTTTGACACAACCTTTAGGTAGAGAAAAAACAACAACAATGTTAGGTGGCGTATGAATAGCATGGAAGAATATATATATATATATATAGGTAATAATGGAAGTAGAAAAATAATACATATAAATATTAAAAAATAACACATTTTATACAATTATTATAATTGCATAGATATATAGTTTACCAGTAGTTTGTTATTAGACACCAAGTATTAGATCTGCTGTCATTTTATTTAGTCTTTTTTGTTCCAGGTAATTTATATACTGAAGGGAAAGTCAACGGATTACATCCATGTGAGTATATGCTCCCGTTTGATTCAAATTTATTTGAAATACTCGTACCTCCGGGAATACCATCTAACAACTATCGACTCCTCATACGTCTACCAAGACCTTTATTAATCGTACCTACCTAAGTAAGTTTGTTTTTATTATCATTTCTGTTACAAAATGACGTTATTATAATCCGATCATTGTGATAAGGTTGAACTTTAATGTGTAGAATATTATCTTGTTGATAATAATCTTAATTTTTATATAATATCTAAATAAACGCATTGAGCGTTTATTTCATGATTAAATATTATCACAAAATTAAAATATACTATATCGTAAAGTACTTATTGTCCTTTGATTAAAGAGAAATGTATCATTTCAATTATAATTAGGAATGAGCAACATTCATTTGTAGGCCATCATTATTTGTTTAATTTCCTGCTGTTTATTCAAAAGTTCATTCATTATTTCTCGCCGTCTCCTATCGCGTCTGGTTGATAAAATAATGTCCCTGTGACATACGGCTTCACTTATGCGGCCGCGCGAGTGCGTAGTCTCGTGAGTCTCATCACTTATGTTTATTGTACGTGTTTTTCAATTGCGTAATCTTTGATGTTTCTCTACTTTGACATTGTGCCTCAAAATTTGCAAAACTTGTGGCAATCTTTAATAGCAAGTAAAGAACTCATAACATTGTCCATTCCAAAGTATTATAAGGATCTATAGCAATGTAGAATTTCTATGACTACCGATTTCAATATCACCAGTTGTCGCTTCTGGTGGAACGCATCAGGAAAACAGTGTGTGCATTGGTAAAGTGGTTGTTGTGTTTTTACGCTGTTTATCAGTTTCGTATCGCTTGTGTGCACTGTGTAAGTAGTCGGTGTATGCGGCGTGTTTGTGTGTGTGAGTGTGGTAGTGTGGGTGTTCCTGTCGGCGCGCTGCGCGGTGGTCGCCGGAGCACGGTCGGTCGGCGGCGCCAGTCGTGTTCCGAGCACTGCGGGGCTGCCGTGTTTCTTCACGTAGAGCCCTCGCTCGCGATCACAATAACTTTGTGCACTGGAAACTTTTCAAAGCAATTTCGGGCGGATTCGGTTGTTTAGCATCATCCACGCTTTGAATTTCAAGCTACATCGAATTGTACATAGTGAGAACTCTTGTGCGTATACTGTCACGCGTTTATTCTACTCACTCGGTCTATTTTTGAATATTCTCTAAACGCTTCACCGCGAAGTTTTCGAAACGCAGCCCGTCGGAGTCGGGTTAACGGCCGCAGTGTATGCACGTCTGCATCACGTCTCTTGTGTTTTTGTTGACGGATAATATTTAGTGCAGTTAACTTCAACGATCAATCCAAGGAACGTTATCTGTAAGTATGACCTCGGTTGTTACTGTACTAGCTGCACATTAAGCAGTTTAACATGACAAACTCTTTTGACATGTAACTAGACATATGTCTAAGTTTGTCAATTGATTGTTCAATAGTTGATAAATATTCGTTTAAAAACGTGAAGAAATTGTAAAAATGCAAACAAAGTTGACGCGTTGTATTGACTGCTTACGTATGTGTTGTATTCATGTACTTACATGCCCTCACTAGCATATAAGCATATGTATATAAACATGTATGTTTGCAACGAGCGAAGTGTGTATGTATATACACTTATATGGGTATTCATTACTGTGTGTAGTGTATATTCAAACATTAATACCTGAACCTTTGTCTATCGTATAGTGTTGTTTCCACCATGGTAGGTTTCATGTAACTTTGCTTCATTTAGTGTAGTTGGCTAATATTTATCTTTGTCACATGTTTTATGATCTCAAAGACTCATTCAACTAATTAAGAGATCTGAGATAAAGATGGCCGTAATAGAAATGACCCCTAATGTGTTAAACAACGGAACAACTTTGCCTTGTTCCATTATTCTATCAGAGTTGGGTAGCTCCGTTGCTACCATTGTCGTAAATGCGACAAGATATAGTAGGTGTTTCGGTGGGTAGGTAATTCTAATATTTCGTCACTGCAAAATGCTCTCTGTAACAACTCACATTAAAAGCGATTAAAATAACTATAGTAAAAGTAACAATGTAAGCAAATTTTGTAATTTATGTTCTGTTCGCGCCAAAATTATTGTTCCTGTACACGCTTCTGATTACTGTAGATATGGGTATGAGTACTTGACCATAACGAATTATGTACTTATATGTTATGTTACTTTCAATCTCATTGAGATATGATATTAAATATACGCTTCAATTTTTAGACACACAACTAAATTTTGCATTCTTCTTTGCATCTAAGTGAGAACTTGCATATGTACAATCTTTTTTCCTCAACAAATATTAACTAGTACCGCAGCTACCTACACCTAATTAACTTACTCTAAAAGATTACTTTGTATTTTTCAGTAAAGAATAATGTGTAATACCTACTTTTATATATGGTGTAATAACTTTAGTTATCTTATTAATAATGACTATAACCACAATCAATAACTGTAAGTTTTCCTGTCAGTATCTCTACAGTCCTAGCATATGATTGACGTAATACTAAATATTTAATCAGGTGACTTTGCGCATGCTGTAGCACTTTGCGGTCGGTAGTCATACAAATCTCTATAGGCAATTTACGAATGTTAACAGTATTATAGTTAATTTCGAGAAAATATCAGTTATGATTACTGAATATATTTCTCTAATATCTAATAGTTCTCTTAGAAGGAAATCTACTGATATGCTAGTAATGCAAATCAGTTGTCATCCATATGCTGTAATAGTAATGTGGAATATAAAGACGTCTACCTTTGACAAAATTGGGGTCGATAAGTTGGATTGAGATTGTGTATTATCTCAAAATACATAATATTTATGATTAGAGTTTCAATCGGTTAGGTAGTGTGGATTTGCGTGTTCTTCGTTTACATAACTTCTTAGTTGCATTCAAACACTTTTTTTACTTGGAAAAAGCCCGAAGATGCAAGCGGGTACTGTGAGGCTTCTACTCACTAAAAAGTACAAGGTATCCCAACGTTGAACCGCGTTACTGGTTCATACTTCATATGAGGTTGTGGTACAGATGGAGTTGCGCTCTTGAAGCGCTAATTTGGGTCAACCTACAGAGTTTGAGACAGGCCGAATCAACACTAACATATTGACGCGATTAACCTAACTAGCCTTTAACAATTTGTCAGAAGTAGACAGATTAAACGAATATGTCTGGTTGTCGTCTAATAAGATATAATAAGTTTATTAATTTATTTTGTTTTACTACAATTAACAACTAATAATTTGATTAGTTCAGAAACACGTTGGCGCGATTACTTCCATTGCTGTTTTTACAATCTTATTCTCTCCAGAATATACTCAGTTAGTGACAGTAAAATAAGTAAGCCTATTCACCATGTTTACAAAGCATATTTATGATTAATATACCTAATCTAATCATTGATATTCTGAAACCGAAAATGTCATTCACTATATAGTAGAGTTCATAGTTATCTACTGATTGACGTCAATGTTTGTGTATCTAACATAAATAAAAAATAGGAAATATTTAATAGCGACGTTCGGTATTACTTATTATATTTAATGACAGTATTACACGTTATAATACCTATATAATTATAGGAAATTTTCAATGCCACGTTCTTCCGTATCTTTATCTCTATAAGCTTGATCTTTATAGGTTATCTTTATGCCAAATGTCATCTCAATCAGCCCATTATATTATATTGCTTAAGTCAATAAAACCTTATGGTAAGAACCGACTCAATTTAGTATGTTTTCTAATATGATTACGGGAAGGGGGGAATTGTTCGTAACGATTAATAAAATCAGCTAAGAATTCCACACGGTTTTTCCTGTAAACCAGCATTGTTAATCCCTCATGAATTCTGCACGATATGCTAACCGAATAGATTCTTCGCCTCGCCAACATATATTATTAGAGTAGGCGGGTGCACTATTCCATATTAATGTATTAAAATAAAAAAATAGATATAAAAAAAAATCATTGTATGAAATATGAATCACATTTGTGTACAAAGAATTCTTAAAAAAAAAACTCTGTGTTATGTAGTTATTTATTATTAATATACATTAATATACTCTTTACAGGATATGCCATAGACAGTGATTTGTTGTAGAAATAGATATTGGATAGATCCAATATCTATTTCTACAACAAATTATAACTTCTTAATTATTAAAGAAATTATTAAAGAAATTTAGCGTTCTAAATTTTTAGATGCATTTTTATGTTCATGTTTTAATTAATAGTTGTAGATGAGCAAATCTGTATCATACACTTCCATAACTTAATGCTCACATCTATGCGGCAATATTTGTCCTGGATTCCAATTAACCCCACATATCACACGAGTCTAACGCTACATTAACAGACCAACTGCGTTGTATAATATTTGGTTACTATTACTACACGGAACTAGCTGATCTTTGGGATATAAGAAAGCCTATATTTTTTTAATACATGATAATGTAACGGTGCAACCGCTTGCGTTAACAGTATAAGCTGGCTAGGTATATGTGGAGGATAATTAGATGAATATGAAGTCAGATCAGTCAGCCAATGTCAGATCGGTCACCAGGAATTTATCACGATAGTTTGCAGGGGGAACCGCATGGAGGTCAACCTAACATAGTACATGTCCAGCAATTAATAGTGTTATTAGTCCGCATTATTAAGAATCCCTTTCCCCTAATAGCCGATGTTCGTCTTTGTGATACAATCTATCCTAGCTAGCTGAAGTGGATATAGTGATTAACACTATGACGTACGTAAGTGGCATAAAGTGTTCTATATGATGAAATAATTTTGATTATCTTTACGTAAAATTTTATTAAGAGCCGTTTAGGGAACATGCATTAGGTACGATGACAATCACATAGATAGTATTTTTATGATTTTATATTAACATACATTTGATTATTAATATAGATATTGTCAATCCTATCAACCAATGTGTTATTATTGTATATTACGATATAATTGCGTAATTCTAGTTATAACACACTAGGCGGAATTATAGCCAGAGCCGAAGGCGAGTGTGTAATAGAACCTAGTGTGTTAAATACCCACGTAGATATATCATTCGATATTTTTCAACATCTTGCGAGGAAACAATAAAAAAGTCATGATATTATATTTTGTTAAATTTTGGCACTTTTCCGCCTTTTTCCTTTTTTAATCATCCTCCTGTTTATTAGCTGGAGCCGACAGTTAGAAATTTAGAAAAAATAGCAAATAGTGCGGTTATAGAACATATCTTCACTATTTGCATTTATAACGCACGCGTGTTTTATGAGCTGCTTTATATATCGAAAACCGGTGAAATTAGATGTACTTTAAAGCAAATATGTTAAATATATATATTTTCTTTATTGTACGCATCGCATCGCATCGCATATATGTATAAGCGAACAAACTAAGTCGATTGTATTATTGTATGTCGCGTTGTATTTATCATAAATTTTATACTACATCTTTAATTATCATCGTTGGCTGTCAGACCTCCGTGTCCATATAAGTACAAACTGACAGACAACAGATAGATTCCTAAGGAAATGTTACGGTAGAAGAGAACTGGTTCCGCGGGACATAGCTGTAGTATCATAATCTTTATTGTCTTTGTCTACTTTATCTTTGAATTTAATAAAATTGTAAAATCTTTACGAGGCAAATACTGTTTGTGTGTTAAAGTTTCACTTACATATATAGGGCTGGAGCAATTACTATTAAATTTTAACAGGATATATTGTTTTATATATTGGTATACAGTGTATATATTCTAATAATATATATGCTACAGAAAGCTTTATAAAAGTACAATGTCGAATATGAAGGTCTTGGTGATTTAGGTTTAGCACACAAATGATGGTCGCGCGTTCGATTCTTCGCACGATGCAAACATTTATGTCTGGGTATTTCCTAATGTTTTTAGGTATTTACAAAAAAAATTGTCTGTGTTAATGTTAGTTATAACACAAAATCTGCTTAGGTTGACATATGTATATATATAGAGCTGTGTGAATTTTCCTGGATCATTATTATTATTAATATGTTAATTATTATTATATTATTTTATAAAACATTGAATGAAGTAATTTATGGAGTTGTGTATCAAACGACAACAATAAATATTATTATTGTTGTCGTTTCATCAGTATCAATAAAACGGGATCAACGAATATAACACTAATGTATACGAGTACTTCTGTACAAATATTACAATGAGTAAACTTTGTGAGGTTGTAAGGAATAATCTCTGGATCTACTGAACTGATTTCCATAATAATTTTACATCTCGCCTCGAACAATAGGAACCAAGCTGCAATGAAAATTTTGCA